GAGAGAGAGAGAGATTGAGATAGAAGGAGAAGACGCGAACTCTCTCGCTGAACGTCCGAGTGACTCACGAACGTTCAAAGTAACGTTTCACGTTCCAATTTTAACCGAAGCCGAATAGATGGATTGTCTTTGGCGCCAGTGTACGCGCATATAAGTGCGTAAAAATAGCTAAGTGTCCGCTGGTAATTGAGCTATAGCGAACTATTTCTGGGGAGGGTGCGAGCTTTTCGAAAAGAAGAAGAAAGAAAGAGAAAGAGAGAGAGAAGAGAGAGAGGGAGATAGAGGGAGAGAGAAAGAAGGATAGAGGTAGAGATAGAGATAAAGAGAATAGAAGAAGAAGAAGAAGAAGAAGAAAAAGGAGAAGAAGGAAGAACAAATTGTTACGAGCACATTACGATGTCTAACCTATTCTTTGACATTTGTAATTTTCTTTTTTTTTTTTTTCTTTTTTCATTTCCTTTTATTTTTTATTCTTTTATTTTATTTTATTTTATTTTATTTTTTTTCTTTTTTTCTTTCTTGATCTTATTCTTTTTTATCTTCCTCTCATCGATATACGTTCTTCTTTTTATCGTACAAATCGAGAGAGAGAGAGAGAGAGAGAGAGAGAGAGAGAGAGAGAGAGAGAGAGAAAGAGAAATAAAAATTGTTTCCTCCGACTTAAACGCGACGTTTCTTCTTTATCTCTCGACGGAGTTATCCTAGACGACGTGCTCGTAAACGAAGCGACCATGCACGTTTACTACGAACACGTTGGATGTGATCCACACTTTATATATGTATGTACACATATATATATGTATATATATATATATATATATCCGTAGGTTTTACTCGATTCTCTCGGAGTTCTCAGTTGGAATATTTTTTTAACCTTTAGAATTCATCTTTCTCTCTCTCTCTCTCTCTCTCTCTCTCTCTCTCTCTCTTTAATATCAAATAATAATTCGATCGTTATAAATTGAATATTTTTTTTTACTATCTTTTATTCAACTTTTAAATATTATAATACAACGATGTCGAGTAATAGAGAAGGAAGAATAAGTATAAAAGAAGAAAAAGAAAAAGAGAACGAGCTCTCTTATTTGTTATAGAGGAAGAGAGAGAGAGAGAGAGAGAGAGAGAGGCATATGAAAGAAGTAACACAGTGAAGAGAACTCGAGCCGAGCAGGAGCATTACGTGACTAAATTGCGTTTCCCGTAAGTGTACTCGGATGAGACGGCACTGTCCCGGGGGTTTCGAGGTTTTTGGGGTTGGCATGACGTGCTACTCTTCCACCCTCTTTCGTCCCCCTTAGGTGTATATACCCTTAACTCACGCACACGCATGCACTTTACCAAGGCGAACAACAACCATAGAGAAGCCGCACACATGCTTCCCACGGCATGATTCCAGAACTTTTCCTGGCCCTTTTGCTTCTTTTCCTTTTTCATCTCTCTCTATCTTTTCTCCCTTTATCACTCTCTCTCTCTCTCTCTCTCTCTCTCTCTCTCTCTCTCTCTCTTATTCTTTATTCCTCACCCTTCGGTCGCGTTCTTATTGCCATCGAAAGAAAGAGAAAAAAAAAAAAAAGAAAAAAAAGAGAAAAATTCGTCGTCATCCTGTAAATATAATTTATCCAACGATTTACTTTTGATACTTTGTTATTTTCGATATTTCGATCGAATTTTTCTTTTTCTTTTTTTTTTTTTTCTATGCAAGATTATCAAGAGGAAAAAAATTTTCCAATTATTTTCACAAACCATTTATATAAGTCTTCATGTTTCTTTTCCTTCTTCTTCTTCTTCTTCTTCTTCTTCTTCTACTTTTTGTTCTTTTGTTTTTTTATTGTCAGATATTAGCTTTTTTTTCC